ACCGCATCAGGCAAGGTGGGAAACCAAGACCCCTGTTACAGGACCCGGCCGGGGCCTCATGGTGGTAGGCGGTGGAGCCCCATGCCCCCATTCTGCACGCCGTGGGCTACTCTGTCCTCATGGGCAAGGAAGGCCAGGCCCCTTCCTTGGCTCCACAAAAAGAGGGCCCGCCCTGAGACGGGATGCCGCCCTGCTCCAGCAGCAGTGGCGGCAAATGGATAATGAGGGCCACCTGTGGGGAGCGCACTGGGTGCCAGGCACGGGCTGGCCCCTGAGGTCTAGTGCTCCATTTAATCCTTGCAACAGCCCATTGTGCAAAGGAGGAAGCTGAGGCCCAGGAAGAGGAAATGACCCACTCGAGGTCCCACAGTCCACACATAACGGCGCCGGGATGCGAGCCAGGTGTCTGGTTCCAGACTCTGTGATCCCACTCTGCGCCGCGCTCATCCCCGGGCAGGTCCTCACGCCGCCACCCCTTGGCTGTGCGACCTCGGCTTACCTCTCTGAGCCTCGGTCTCCTCTGGATGAGAAGCAGCAGCAGCCAGGCCCCCTCTGAGGACTGTGTGAGGATGGACGAGGCGCTGGGCGGGGGGCCTGGCACAAGTAAGGGCTCAGGGAAGCTCGGCGCCCTCCCCGCCTTCCCACCTTCCCCACCTCGTGCTTCCTCCTGGCCTCTGGGGGGTCCTCGGGAGTGAGGCTCGGAGGGGACCAGTGCAGTGGCCGCAGCTGGAGAGAGCACTGAATCCCAGCTCCAGCACTGACCATCTCGGAGCCCTGGGTGCACCATGTAATCGCCCCATGCTTCGGTTTCCCCATCTGTGAGCGAAGATGAAGCACATAAAGCAGCCAGAGCAGTGGCACACGGCGGGCACTGAGCAAACGCAGCTAGTGATAGCCATCATCAGCGTCAGCGCCACTTTACGTACAAGTGCAGTGGCGAGGAGTCCGCGCCTGGGTGGTACTGGGTTCAAGTCCCAGCTGCACACTCCCCTAGCTGAGAGAGACAGGCCCAGGAGGATGGTCTGAGGACGGATGGACGGATGGACGGATGGGAGGAGATTTGTTAGGGAAATTGGCTCACGTGGTTATGGAGGCCGGGAGTCCCACGGCAGGCCATGGAGACCCAGGGGATGCGAAGGCCTGAGAACCAGGGCCCACTGGGGCCAGTCCCAGAGCCAGCGCCTGGCGTTCTCATGTCCAAGGGCAGGAGAAAAAGGGTGTTCCAGCTCCAGAAGAGTGTGTTTGTGGGGAGAAAGAGAGAGAGAGCGCGCGAGTGCGTGCACGCACAGGAACTCACCTTTCCTCTGCCTTTTCGTTTCATCCGGGCCCCAGCCGATTGGATGGCGCCTGCCCACATTGGCCGAGGGAAGATCTCCCGTACTCAGTCCATGATTCAAATGCCAGCCCCATCCAGAAACGCCCGCACAGACACACCCAGAAATGATGTTTTCCCAGCTATCTGGGGGTCCCTTAATCCACTCAAGCCGACACCTCAAGTTAACCATCACACTGGGCCACCTTTGGCAGGTTACTTCGCGACTCCATAACTGTTTCCTCATTTGCAAACAGGGTGACGTTAATAATAGTTCCTACCTCTCATGGCTGCTTCGCGCAGTGTGGAGGGCAGAGGTCGCCCTTGGGCCCTCTGGCCATTATCATCACTGTTAGAAACTTAAATACAGGAGCAGTGGGTACCTTGTGATGCTGGGCTCCTGTCCTACTGCCCTCGCTCCCTCCCCGAGGCACCTGGACAAGCTCTGTCCTGGCCACGTCCCCAAGCCCTCTGGGTTTTCAGCCACAAGGTGGAGGTGACAGCAGGACCTGCCTCGTACGGTTGTGGTGGGGATGGGCTGAGACATGTGAGCAGTATGTGCGCAATAAATGCCAGCTGTCATTATTAACGGTCAAGGGCTTTCAGGGCCAAGGTAGCCTCACAACCTCTGGCGAGAGAAATCAGACGGGCCTCATGCCCCTTTGCAGGGCCGAGCAAGGCTAAGAGCCTACGGCGCTTGCCCATGGGGAGTGCCAGGCGCCGGCCACATCCCTTTCTGACCGAGGGATGCAGCCCGTTCAGTGATGGCAGGCACTGACTGCCCTTCAGGAAGGACGTGGCATTTGTCCAGAGTTGGGCCTCCTGCCTGCCCCCAGGGCGGGGCTGCGAGGCCAGTTTCGGGGAGGCAAGGGCAGAGCAGGATGGTGTGTCTGGCCATGCGGTACTGGGGCTCACACGTGGCCTCCTGGCCTCTCCTTGACCCTGCCTGACCTTCCTGAGCCCACCCCCGTGTGGGTCTGGCCCTCGGCTGGAGTGGGAGTGCCTGGAGTCTGCTGTGGGCCGGACACTCCATCTCATCTAATCTTTAAGACGGGGCGTACCACCCGCATTTCACAGGAAGGCCCAGAGAGGCCGTGTGAATTGCCCACAGTCACACAGCAGATTGGTGTTGGAACAGGGACCCCAAGGTTGGAGCTATTTCTGCTACACATGCTACCTCAGCTAGGAGCCAGGGAGACCCATTACCTGCCGACACCAAGGGTGTCCCCTAGCAAGACAGGATGGAGAGTGGCCCCCAGGCATTCTGCCCTGACATTCCAGGTCTCAGCTGCACTGTCCCCTCCCTCCGGGCCACAGAACACACCCTCCGTGCTGGCTCTTAGCTCTCTCCCCGACACAGGCAGGAGGGTTAAAAAGTGTGCAACTCGAGCACACAAGGCAAACGAAAAGGGCACAAAAGGACCCACAGTGAAAATGTCCCTCGCACCCTGCCCCCGGGCCATCCAGTTCCCCAAAGCAATCGCCATTAGCGGCTCCTTTCGTGGTCTTCCAGAAACATCCCTGCTTGTATTCTTCCCACGCTGTTCTTCACCATGCTCAGTTTGCCTTGGCGACGTGGTCTGGGGACGTTTCCATTAGGACCAGGCGTCCGCTGCAGACCTGCACCCCAGTTCGCTGAACTAGTCCCCCGTGGACGGGTTTGGGTCGTTCCCAGCCTTTGCTCGGATGCGGGATGAACGCCGTCGGTGTCACTCAGTTGGCGCGGCTGGCTGGACGGTGCGTTCCCAGGAGCGCTGTTGCCGGGTGAAGGTGCGCATCCCAGTCTCACATCCGTTACTTCATCCGCTCGCGGCGGACCAGGTCACTTCCCGTCTGCGTGGCTGAGGGACGCGTGGCTGGGGTTCCACCCTCGTTCCTATGATGGAATGCCCCCCACCAGCCCCCACGGAGCAGAGTTCTTTCTGTGCGAATTCGAGGGTTCTAGAAGGGGCTGTGATCCCGGGGACACTTGCCTGGCCTGGCTGAAGGGGCTTCATCGAACACCCCTGCTTTCTGTTTCTCTGTGTCCGACGTTAAAATGTTCTTTATGAAGCAGGCTCTGCTTTATAAGTGAAAAGTGCCACATTAAGAAGAGAAGAATTCAAAGACTCATTTCTTTGTCGCTTGAAATGTAGCCGCCTTCCCTCTCACCCACCCCCACTGGGCATGAGTTTATGGGCACGTTTGTCCGAGGTGTTGCTAAAAGGCAGGGAACGAAGCATGTTCAGGTACCTGAGAAGTGCAGGGAGGCAGTGCGAGGTTATTCCTGGGAAAAGAGCACCAGGCCTGGACACGTCGGGAGACTGAGGCCAGAAGGGGGCCCATGTGCTGGCACCCCTGCTCTGAGCCTGAGAGGCAGCTGCTGGTGAGGGCAGGGGTCAGGTTGGGCTGAATCCTGCAGAGGCCGGCCCTCTCTGCGTGTCCTCACCAGCCAGGGTTCACAGTCCCGGGGGCTGCAGTGCAGAGGCAGGGAGGCGTCCCCCAGGGCCAGGAGCCAGGCAGAGGCTGGCAGCTCATAGTGGCTCAGGCCTGGCCTGGACTCCGCTGCCTCTTTGAAAACCAGGCCCCTGGCCCTCTGAGTCCTGTCTCCTGACTGCTCTGCCATTCCTGCCCACGGTGGCAGCGAGGCCTGGCTGGGGGAGGGGAGGAGGGGGGTGCCTCACCCCCGGCCCTGGGGCAGCACATGGCCTAGATGGGACAAGTGTGATGCCTGCCGACAGATCCAGGGCGGACACAGCCGCCCCAGACACTCACACAGATCGTGGTGGTCTGACCTGTGGCCCAGGAAGCCACGCGTCTGAGGCTCTCAGGAGACTTGTCAGCAGCTAATGGGGGCTTCTGAGGCTCGGAGCGAGGACAGCCAGAAGGGCATTTACTGGGGCCCTGAGCTCAGATGACTGAGGAGGGGCTGGGCTGGGCTGGAGGGGGAGGGGCCGGCTGCCAGCTTCCTGCGGGACTTCCCTGGTCCCGGCTTCAGGTGGGGGCTGGAAGTTCTAGGGGCCGAGACCAGGGATTCTGCATCATTTTGGGGCCAGGGGTTGGGGAACCTGGGGAGGGTTTTGGGCCTGGTGCACGGATCCGGCTGGGTCAGGGTGGGTAGTGCTGAGGGGAAAGCAGGTGGGAGTGGGGGGAGCACACAGGCCCCACTAACCCCATCTGAGGGGCCAGACTCGGGAAGCCAGAAGGCTTCATCAAACCCAAGTGGGCTCTACAGGTTGCCAGGCCCTGGGGAGGACGTGCAGGACATGCACAAAGACGAGCCTAGAAGTCTGGCTTCGCGGAGCTGTTTGTGTCTAGTAAGCCAAGCCCAGATTTCTGTAAGGCACACACACAATCGTGTGGCCCCAACTGTTACTCCGCGAGTCCGGGAGCACGTAGACAGTTACGGCGCCATGGGCTCTGGAGGTTGGGACCAGCTCCTGCGAGATGCCGGGGGAGCTGGAGGATGGATTGGGGTGGGGGGAGCAGGTGGAGGAGGAAGATGGGGAGGTGGGTGCAAGGGTGCTACAGGGTGAATCTTCGGGTAACCCTAGGTCTGGTGAGCTAGGCTCTGGACGGGAAGCCCCCATCCCAATGCAAGCCTGGTCCCATGGAGCCCTCATTGCCACGTCAGGTGGGGGACCCAGGCCTGGGATGGGATGTGGGGGCACTTCCCTTGTCTCCAGGGAGCTCTCTCCTGCCCTCCCAGCGCATGAGCAGCCGAGCCTGCTAACTGCTGCGCCACCCGTCCGTCCCCACACGCTGCGCCATGTCCGGCTCCTACGACGAGGCCTCACTGGCTCCGGAGGAGACCACCGACAGCTTCTGGGAGGTGAGGCCTCATGCTCCCCGGGCCCAGGCTCCCACCACATCCCCAGTCCCCACGACTTCAGGCCTCGCCCCCCAGCCCCTGGGCCCTTCCCAGGTCCTCAGTGTCCAACAGGCAGCTGTAGTCGTGCTCTGGGGAGCCCTGGCTCAGACTCCAGCACATTACACAGGCAGGCACCGCACTTTACAGTTTACACGGCCTTTCAGAGCTGCTCCCGCCCCGACCCTGTGAGGTGGGCAGGGGTAGAGCACTGGACACAGAGGCGGAATGAGCTCCTGGAGCCCCACCATGACATGGGGGTGGAGGCAAGACTAGAAGCCAGCATTTTGGGAACCTCTGGAAATATTTGAGACTTGGGGGACAAAACTGCTATTGGCTCCCGAAACCCAGAACGAAAACTGCCAAACCCAAATTAATAAGTGTTTAATGAGATGTCTACAAAACATAATATTATGTCAAAAACCCGCAGCTCAACTCAACACTTACATGACTATATAAATATAATGGAGTTAGCTCACAAGAACAAAATGAATAATTCATTCTAGCCCAAGTCCAACTTAGAAACATCCTTCTGCACTTTGTGGCAGTGAGGTAGTGTGTTTAAAGTGGGATGAGGGTGCATGCAGATGGGGTCCGATGCGGGGTGCTGGGGCCTCCCAGAGTTGGAGGGTAGGGAGCCCCCCTGCGCGGCGGGGGCGGGGGCGGGGGCGGGGCAGGGAGCCCGCGGGAGTCGCGCTCGCTCGCTGCTTGGCCGCCAGGTGGGGAACTACAAGCGGACGGTGAAGCGCATCGATGACGGCCACCGTCTGTGCAACGATCTGATGAGCTGCGTGCAGGAGCGCGCCAAGATCGAGAAGGCGTACGCACAGCAGCTCACCGACTGGGCCAAGCGCTGGCGCCAGCTCATCGAGAAAGGTGCACCCCCAGGCCCACCCCGTCACACCCCCAGGTCCTAAGCAGGGTCCCCCACAGTCTGGGTCCCGGAAGCCCCAGGCGCGTACATGCGCCCTGCGTCTACTTGCCCCAAGGCCTTTTCCAGACCACACCAGGCCTCCCTGTTCAGCTCTATTTTGTACAACTTTAGGTTAGATTAAAAAACCAAAAGGCAAAACAAAGAATTTTTCTTATTTTGAAATAATTCCAGCTTTGAGGAGGTTGCACCAGTGGTAGAGAGCTTCCACAAACCCTTCCCCCAGAGTCGCCAGTGCCCTGTTTGTTTTCTCACTGCCTCCCCACTGGTCCGCGTGCTTTTTTCTGAACCGGTTAAGAGGAAATTGGAGCCATCAGCCCTCTTCATCTCTAAAGTCTTCATGTGTCGCCTACAAATGAGAACATTTGCTTATGTAACTGTAATTCAGCTATCAAAATTGGGACATTAATACAGCCCATATGCAAATTTTACTATGGCAAATTGTGCAGTCCAAGATCCAATCCAGGGGCACATACTGCGTCTAGTTGTCGTGCCTCCAGATTCCTTTCATCTAGAACAGTTTCAAGGTGGGGTTTACGTATATCTGTGAGTGTTTCTTACACTAAACTCTAAACCCCAGGAGGGCAGGGGCCGGGCCTGTGCCCCCAGCACACTGCCTGGCGTGAAGTTGGTGCCAGTACACAGACGATAAGTGAATGTGGAATGGCTGGTCCACAGTGGCCTCCTGGCACCTGTCGCCAGCTGGTTCTTCAGTTTTGCTTTCAGCTAACATTCCTGGGGCACCTACTGTGTGCCTGGCTCTCTGCTGGGCTTGTGAGAGCTCACGGGGTCCGGGCTGCTCCTGTGGGGCTCACGCTGATGGGGGAGGCAGGGAGGAGGTGCGGGGGCAGGAGCTGCAGGCAGAGGCCAGGGAGGGCCGCAGGGCACGGCGCGAGCGTGCTGCGGACAGAGAAGGCTTCCTGGAGTTGGCAGCTAGAAAAGGGCTAGAAATACACATCGGGAGAGCAGAGGAGGGCGTTTCCGTTGCCATGGGAAGGAAGAGGAAAGTCTCAGGGAAGGGGGGCGGGAGGGAAGCCTCTGGACAGGGGCTGATGAGGGTCCCCAAGACCACTGCCGTTCTCTCAGGCCCACAGTACGGCAGCCTGGAGCGGGCCTGGGGTGCCATGATGACCGAGGCGGACAAGGTGAGCGAACTGCACCAGGAAGTGAAGAACAGCCTGCTGAACGAGGCCCTGGAGAAGGTCAAGAACTGGCAGAAGGACGCCTATCACAAGCAGATCATGGGTGGCTTCAAGGAAACCAAGGAGGCAGAAGATGGCTTCCGCAAGGCCCAGAAGCCCTGGGCCAAGAAGATGAAGGAGGTGCTCCGCGGGCGTGGCCACGCACGGGGCGGGGCGGGCGGCTGAGCTCAGAGAGCCAGTGCAATCAGCGGGTGCCCATCACAGGGAGGGTGTCTGCGGATAGCGGGGGCAGGGCACTGCCCTCCAGGACTGTGACCACAGGGGAGCAGCACTGCCTTCCAGGAAGAAGTAGTCACACGTGGGCAGACAGTGCCCAATGGGTAAAGAGACCCATGGGCAAAAAGAGGCATTGTCCCCAGGAAAGGTACCGGCAGGGGCAGGAGGGATCCGCAGACAGGGCGGCACTGCACGGCCTGACGGGGCGTATCCACAGGGGACCAGGCAGTGCCACGCAGGGACACCGCACAGCTGGAGGGGCCCTGCTCCCAAATACCTGGAGCCAGGGCCTGCACCCCTCCTGCCTCTTAAGAACACGTACTCACAGCTCCCGGGGAGTGGGTGGGGGGAGTTGACGCCACCAGGTTTGTTCCTGCTCACTAGCGGGAGCCCTGCCCCCTGTTGCCCCTCCCCACAGCTGGAGGCCGCCAAGAAGGCCTACCATCTGGCCTGCAAAGAGGAGAAGCTGGCCATGACACGGGAGATGAACAGCAAGTCAGAGCAGTCAGTCACACCCGAGCAGCAAAAGAAGCTGCAGGACAAAGTGGACAAGTGCAGGCAGGATGTGCAGAAGGTGCGGCCGGGCCAGGGGTGGTGGGGACAGGGGAGGGCCTGAGAGCCCCTGGAGTGGGTGGCAGCTGGGAGCCGCAGGCCTGGCTAGGTCCCACGCACCCTCCACCCTGGTGCCCACAGACACAGGAGAAGTACGAGAAGGTGCTGGAAGACGTGGGCAAGACCACACCCCAGTACATGGAGGGCATGGAGCAGGTGTTTGAACAGTGCCAGCAGTTTGAGGAAAAGCGGCTGGTCTTCCTCAAGGAGGTGCTGCTGGACATCAAACGTCACCTCAACCTAGCTGAGAATAACAGGTACCCGGGCATGGAGGGCACAGGCACAGCCAGCGGAAGGTGTAATGGGTGCAGGGCATCCCAGGCCCTGCCTCACTGTGCCAGGAAGGGGAGGGCAGAGCTGCAGAGGCCAAGGGGGAAGAGGCTTCTAACACAGGGGCCACCTGACACAAGCCAACGCATACTAGGGACTCCAGAAACGTGCTGGGATGGATGGGTGAGTGGCTAAGGTGGGGAAGGAGAAGGGAGCTCACTGGGCATGCCTGCAGCCGCTCCCTGCAAAGCCCACCTGACTCCCGCCTAGAGGGCATGGCCAGCATTCTGGTCCCTTGACTGGGCTCTGGTCCCTCACTGAGGATGAAGAGGGGCCGTGGTGCATCTGTGTCCTCCACCGCCCCCATCTCCCTGTGCACAGCTACATCCATGTGTACCGTGAGCTGGAGCAGGCCGTCCGGGGGGCTGACGCCCAGGAGGACCTCAGATGGTTCCGCAGCACCAGTGGCCCTGGCATGCCCATGAACTGGCCTCAGTTTGAGGTGAGGATTTGTGGGGCTGGAGAAGGGGAGCCTAAAAGGCTGGAAGGGTCCTCAGGGTACAGCCCCCAAGCCTGACTGCTCCCCTGCCCCCACCAGGAGTGGAACCCGGACCTCCCTCACACCACTGCCAAGAAGGAGAAACAGCCCAAGAAGGCGGAGGGAGTGACGCTGACCAATGCCACTGGGGTGGTGGAGTCCACATCCCAGGCTGGGGACCGTGGCAGGTGAGTGCCTCCATGGAGCTTCCTGGGGCCAAAAGGAATCCACACACTGGGGCAGCTGAGTTTTGCCTCCGGAGACAAGAAATGGTCAGATCGCAGCAACCATGTCTCCTCTGAAAGACAGTGGTAGCTGATCCTTCTAGAGCAGCCACTGTGTATGGCCCTGTTTTAAGCATTTTCCATGTATGTAAGCCTCCCATTACTCTAGGCAAGTGTGCGAATATTCCCATTTTACAGATGGAGAAACCGAAACCCAGAGAGGTTAAGTGACTTGCCCAAGATCACATAGTTAGTAAACCTCCGCATGAGAACGATGCCCCGGAGGCCTGACTCCGGGATCCTCGCTCTTAACCATTAGGTGGCACTTTCCCTCTCAGATCAAGGCTCAGATGGTCTCTGGGGTCCCCTTCTGTGCCTTCTCTTTCAAGAGCTGAATAAAATAATGCGAATGGCCCTGCCTCGCATCTGTTTAAAGAGCTGTCATGAGGGTCACTGTCTCAAGATCCCCTCCTACGCGGCCAATCCCTGCTCCAGCCTTGGTACAGTTTGGGGTCAGAGCCCAGGTTAGGAGGAGGGTTAGCCCTGGCGACAAGGTGCGGAGGGCGGGGAGGGATTTCAAGCTGGGTCCTCCCTCTGCGTCTCAGTGTGAGCAGCTACGACAGAGGCCAGCCCTACGCCACAGAGTGGTCGGACGACGAGAGCGGGAACCCCTTCGGGGGCAATGAGGCCAATGGGGGTGCCAACCCCTTCGAGGACGACGCCAAAGGAGTGCGCGTGCGGGCGCTCTACGACTACGACGGCCAGGAGCAGGACGAGCTCAGCTTCAAGGCCGGTGAGGCGGCGGCGCGGCCCGGTTGGGTGTGCGGGGCGGGGCTGAGGACAGGGCCCGCCAGGATTTGCGGAGAATGGAGGGGGCGGGGCCTGGCGGGGGCGGGGCCAGTCCTCAGGCGACCGGGTGCTGGGGGCGGGGTCAGGACCTGAGCGTAGGGTAGGGGCGGGGCCTGGGCTTAGGGCCGGGACCTCGGTGCCAGGGGCGCACGTGGATGTTGGGGTGGGACTGGGGCTGGTCTCCCAGGCTGGGAGGGTGGGGCCTGTGGCCAGTATCTAAGAGCACCTAAGGGAGTTGGAGCATTTGGGCGCTGATGGGGAGGAAGGCGTTGGAGGGCTCACCTAGCGGGAGTGTGTTGGGAGACGGACGGCCCTGTCTGATCCCCTCCCTGTGTCCCCCTTCCAGGAGACGAGCTCACCAAGCTGGGTGAGGAGGATGAGCAGGGCTGGTGCCGCGGGCGGCTGGACAGCGGGCAGCTGGGCCTCTACCCCGCCAACTACGTGGAGGCCATCTAGCTGCCCGGCTCCCTCCACACCCCCTCACTCCTTGCCCACCGCCTCCCCCTTCCCACTCTCATCTCCTTTCCCTCGCCATAGAGTTCCAGACATATTTTCCGATCAAGCTTTTATTTTTTTAAAAGTCAAAACAGAACAAAACAAAAAATACAGAGACAGAGCATTTGCAGGGCCACCCGGAGGCCAGGGTGGTAGGGCTTGGAATGATGGCCCCAGGGCAGGTGAGGGTCTTAGGACATAGCCCATCGTCACAACATCTGCTCTTCAGGTTCCACCAAAGAGTCCCCTGAGCCTTGAGGGATGTCTCCTGGACCCTCTACCCTTCCTTTCCCCCATCCCACTCCCTCCAGGCTGCGGCGCCTGCCCCTGCTCCCTGGGCCTGGTTTCCTAACCTCTTCTTCCCTACCCCGTGCCCCCTTCCACCACCACCCTACTCTCAAGGCCTCCTCTCCAGACCCCGCGAAGGGAGGCCCCCAGTCTTTAGTCTTCCACTCTGCCCTAGGGAGTGCCCTTCTAGTCCTAGCCCCATCCTGGTCACACTCCTCCACCATAGAGGTTCCCTGGGGTCCCTAGACTCCCCAGACATGAAGAGGGGTGAGCTGGAGGAAGTGATGGTGTCCCTGGGATACAGGAGGGTGTCTGTGCCAGCCCTCCCAGCTCCCAGGCCCATGCGAGTGACCAAGGCCCTGTCTGGGCCCTCCTTTCCAGCGGTCAGCACCTTGGGCATGGGCTCTTCCTCAGAGCCATACCCCTCAGTAACTTGCAGAGACCCTCCTCCTCTCACCAGTCCTCTGGCAGGGTGGGGACCCCAAAACCCACAGCATAGCCAGCAACAGTAGCAGCCTCCTCCCGTTTCCTGGGGAGGAGGGCATCTTGCCCCCCACCTTCCTTCCCTCCCTGTCCATCCAGAACCGTAGACTCACTGGGCTCAACACGAGCCTCCATGAGACCAAGCCTTGTGCCTGCAAGGCTCGCGGCCTAGCCGCCTTCTCCCTTTCCCTGGCCTGCCTGAAGACAGACAGTGCAGGGCCCGTGGGAGCTTCCAGCCTGGGACCATCAGAGGAAAGCCTGCAGCTGAGCTTGGCAGGAAGGGGGCGCCCTGGCCCTCTGGAGCAGGACAGTCACCATGTCTTTCTTCCTTGTCCCCCAGCCCCCAGAACAACATTCCCCCTGCCGGCAGCCCCTCTATCTCTCCAAGCCTGGATCACAGTTAAAGGACTTTTGGGGGGTGGGTCGAGGCAAAAGGCCCATCTGGTTGGTAACAGCAGTAGTGCGGAGCGCTAGGTACCAGCCTCTCCCACAGGATTGGGTGGGGGGCTTGGGAAGCAGACCAGCGCTGGACAAGACCCCTAGAGGTGGGGCAGTAGCTGGGAGAGATGTCTCTCGCGGACCTCGGGGGCGAGGAGCTGAGAAGTCCTACAGCCCCAGGTGAGACTTGTTGCAGAGGACGCCACTGCTAGGCCTCTGGACTGCAGACACCTCCTCCCTCCTGTACCGCTGGCCTCCTGGGCCTCCAGGCACAGAGAGGTGCTAGCCCCGCCCTCTGTCGGCCCTCAGCCCTTCGCTCCCTGGTGCTGCTCCCAGCAGCCCACTGTTAGGGAGCGGAAGACCCCGGCCTCAAGGCTCCGACCTTCACGTGGGCATGGAGGATCCTGACAGACCTTGGCAGGGCCCAAACTGGGGCAGGCCTCCCTCAGGGCCAGAGGTGATGGCAGCCCCGGGACAGGCAATCCTCACCCCCTGCCACCAGCACCCCTGTCCTTATCACTGCCTGATCTCTGGGCCTTGGCTGCAGCTGGAGATGTGTCCAGGCTGGGCTCCTCAGGGCCTGAAGCAAGATTTTGGAAGCCTGCCATCCTCCCAACTCCAGAACAAAAGCTCTCCTACCTTTCCCCCGGCAGGAGCTGGGGTTGGGACCGCGGCCCCTCGCCGCTTACGCTGGAAAGGCAGGAAGCCGGCGCATCTGCACCTTAGGGCCTGGGCGCCCCCTCCCTGTGCCGGAGGCTTCCCAGCACTGGGGAGGGACTGTGGCCCTGGCTGGACCCCAGGCCGGTTCCTCTTAGCACTCTAGCTGCCCACGCCAGGGCAGGGACTCGGACCCCCGTCCCTTCTGAGCAACCACCTCCATGGTCATTTAGGACCACTCTCTTTCGGTCCCCAGGCTCCTCAGGACCACAGAGCAGGGGGTCTCCCACCTGGAAGTCCCTGAGCTCCGGGAGCCCAGCCCACCTGTCAGGGCAACAACACCGAGCGTGGGGCCGCACCCCTCGCCGTGCCCGCAGCCTCCTCCTGTAGCCCCCGCCCGCACCCTCGCTGCCGCACGGGCCCGCCCTGGTGGGGCTCGGCGATAATGTGTTCTGTCCCCAGTTAACCGCCATTCTGCGGCCTGGTTCTGCGAGGAGCCAGGGCCGCCCCGCCACCCGCCACCCTAGGCTTCCTGACTCCATTAGTTCTGACACTTGTGAAACTCCGAAAAGTGCTGTGGTCTCAGCAATGCACCTGTTTTGTACATGATTGTGTAATTTAAAGGTATATAAATACAAATATATATATATATAAGTTGTGATTGTATGACTGTGGATAAAACCCAGAACTGTGTCAACCTGGCTGGGCGTTGTCATCTGGAGTCTTGTGTGTCTTAGTCCTGGGGGTCTCCGAGCCTTCTGAGAACCATCAGCGGTTGGGATGTCTGTGGGGAGGTGGTGCCCAAGCAAAACTGGGTGCTGTCCTGGCTGTCCTGGCTGTTCTGGCTGTCCTGGGTGCTGTCCTGCGCCTGCGGGCCGGTCCTTTCACCTGGCAGGCGTCCTGGTCCTGTCTGTCCTGGGGAGGGTTACACTGGAGGCTCCTGGGGCTCTGGCCTCAGGTTGGGGTGCACGATGACAGCCCTGACCAGGAGAGCTGGGGCATTCAGGGTCCCAAACTCATGGTTCAAGGGTGAATGTGAAGGTTTTGATTTTTAAAACAGAATTCCAAAAGTGACTGCGAGGCCCGTGGGAGAATGTGGCCCTCAAACAGGTTTTGATTTTTAGAACAGTGACTGCCGAGGCCACAGGTGACTGCTGAGGCCTGTGGTTCCTGGTTGTCCACGGTGCCAGGCTCCACGTGCTGTGACGGCAGCTTTCCTGTATTCTGCGTCGGAAGGCGTTTCTGTGTGGGACCCCCGGGAGGGAGAAGTTCTCAGGGGCGTGGGCAGGACAGGGCTCTGGGCCTCGGCTGCTCCGCCAGGCCTGGCCCAGCTCTCCCGCTCCCGCTGCCCGGCCTCAGCGCATCTCCTCTGGGCAGGGCAGGTTCAGTCCCAGCTCTGCCATCTGTTCACTGTGTCCCCGCCCCACTCTCAGCCTGGGGGACTCAGCTTCCCCCAGGCTGGTGAGAGGTCTCTCTGAGGCCCCTCTGGCCCTGGCAGGGCCCTGACACAAACCCGTTACTCAAGGCAAATTTCCTCCAGCTCTAGGGTGTGCTCAGGGCGGGGAGAAAGGTCAAGCGGGGGACTGAAGGTATTTGCCACCCCATCTCCCCTACTGCCCCACATCTGTCTGCAGCCCTGGTTTCAGCCAGACGAGGAATGCTCAAGCACAGATGGAAGGCCGTGTTGTCCTGTGTGCTCAGGTGGTTACATTTAGTTAGGGGGAGCCCCGGGAGCAGATTCCCGTGGAGAGGGGTCGGGAATACCTGGGCCAGGTGGGGTTCTGATAGGGAGGTGTGTGGAAGAGGGAAAGGAGTCCGCAGATTGTTGTGACCAGCTTACGAGGTGTCACTGGGTGGGGGGTGTCTGCGGGCGGGAGCTGCCCAGCTTTGCACTCCTGCCCATCCTCCACCCCAGCCCCTGCCTGAGATCTGAGGCCTTTCCAGCCTGGGCCCAGCTGGGGATGCACAAGCAAGTGGCTCCAAGGACAGCCCGCTGGCTGGAGACAAAACCAGTTCAGCAGAGCAGAGCCTGCTCTGGCCAGGGTCCCAGTCTGCCCCCTCCCAGGGGTGGGAGACGGCAGGGCCCAGCGAGGCACAGGCCCGCGGCAGGGCCCTGTCCTCCTCCCAGTCCAATGCCAGCTAACAGATGCCAAGGTGCTGTTTGCTCACTGCCAGGACAAACGTTCTTCTGAAGACAATAAGATTGCTGGGGGCAGAGGCAGCAGTGCAGACAGCATTTAACCCTTCGTGGTGTGGGTGGCGCTGGCTGGAAGCCAGGCCTCAGAGGGTGAGGGTCAGAGAGCGGGATGGTGCTGACCAATCAGGAAGCGAGAGGCGTGGCGGGGCAGAGGGCCTGTCCCGGGGAGAGACAGGTGTGGGTTCAGGTTCTGGTTCTGCTGTTAATCAGCTGTGTGACCGTGAGCAAGTCACTTAACCACCCTGAACCTCGGTTTCATCATCTGCAAAATGGGGGAGTAACCCCTACCTCATAGTTTCGTTGGGAAGGTCAGTGACAAAACAGCGGAAGTACCTGCCACATCGCAGGCCCGCAGGACACACGCTTGGGCGAACAAGTGTGAGGAAGCTGAGTGAGCGGCGGGGCCCGTGTCCCCAGCACACGCACAGACGCTGCTGCACACTCTCTCCCCGTCGCACCCGTCGCGCCGGGCTCACCGCTTCTCAGGTGGCGCTCTGAGGTCTTCAGGAGAAACCGCAAACGAGCTAACCTCTCTCCCACCCTGTTTGTTGCAAAGCCAGTGTCCCGCCAGGGGACTGAAGCGCCCACCCCCTCCCACGCCCCTCGGTGTAGTCTAGCTCCTTTAGTTGGCTGAGCAGAGACAGGGCTCTGGCCACCCCCAGGCACAAAGCCCTGCTCCACAGCAGAGCAAGAGTATGCGGAGGACACCTTCCCCTCTCCAGTCCTATGTGTAGACCCTCCTCAGTCCCAGCCCTGCCTCCCTCCTCTCGGCCCAAACCAGGGTGGGGAGGATGGGGTGGCTGTTCTAGCCCCTCCTGGGCTTTGAGGACTCACTGCCTCTCTCCCACATGCTTCTACCAATCAATTATCTCTTTCCTTTTAGGCTCAGCTGAATGCTGCCTCCTCCAGGAAGCCTCCCTTGACCATCCCAGGCTCCTGTGACCATAACCGCTCTTGACCATTGATGGCCTGCGGGCTGTGCCATTCACTGCACAAACACTGGGGATGAGTCAGTTCTCTAATATCTTTATTATCCATTCCTGGAGGCACCCCTGGGTCCCCAACTCGAAGGTGCAGACGTCTCCTAGCACCATGCCAGGCGTGGTGCACAATGGGAGGTGGGGGGTGCAGCAGAGAGAGCCCTGGACTGCAAGTGGCCTTGGCCAAGTCACTGCCATTCTGCAGGCTCTGCTCTGGCAATTCCGGGTCACAGGCTGTCAGAGGGAGGTCCTTCCCTAGAGAGCGGCGAACACCTGAAACCGCCCTTCCTCCCTCCACCCTCCAGAAGACTGGACATGTGAGCATTCAGGTCTGAGGCGGAAGCACCCCACCCCGGGGTCCCTGGGCCCCAGAGAGCCTACTTATACCCCTGAGGGCGGTGGCCGCCCCCTCCCCGACCTTGACTCCAGAATGCCGCTGACTACCCCTTTCTGCCCCAGCTCAGGGTCCAGCCAAGGCAGGGGCAGGCCAGCGGGGGGCCTGGGGCCCTGCGGCAGCCTCAGATGGGGTGCACGAACTGGTAGACCAGGCGCTGGGAGATGTCGGGCTTCCGGATGATGCCCTTCTTGTAATACTGGCGGATGGAGCGGCTCAGCTTGTCGTAGTTCATGGCAGGACGGTTCTTGCGGATGCCCCAGAGCCGGGCCACCTGGGCGGAGTCCTCGATTTTGAAGATGCCTGGGGGAGCAGGAGGGCGCAGAGAGAGCCAGTGGTGCAAGTGGCGCGGCAGGAGGGAGAAGGACCCAGACCATCAGGTCAGTCTCCTGGGAGCCAAAGGAGGCAGTGCCAAGACCGCCCTCTGCTGAGGCAGGGCCAGGCTGTGGGGACCTACGCCCATGGCCGCGGCGAGGGCTAAAGCAATGTGTGTGGAGCGTGTGCCACGTGCCCCGATAAATGGCAGAGAATACTCTGGAGTCACAAACGTCCTGGTGCAGGGGGACCTGTGTACCTAGTGGGTTCTTTGGGGCCCTGCGGGCCTGGCCCTTGCCAGCCTCGGTTCCTACTGTGCGGTTTGCACGTCCTAATCCAAAGCCCTGTGCAGCTCCCGGCAGTGCCCGCGGCTCATTTGGCAAGATCAACCCTCACACCCACCACCTGTGCCCTTGTAGCTCCAAGCCTGAAACGACCTCTTTGCCATTCTCAGACATTTCAGCCCACGCAGCCCTTTCCGGCCTGATTAATAAATATGAGGTGGTGGAAGGAGACTGGATTTGGGGCCGGGCCAACTGGGCTTGGGTCCTGGCTCTGCCATTCGCTCCCTTCAGAGCCTGTCTGAGGCTCCTTTTTCTGTCTGTAAGAGGGCGTTGTCGTGACCACCATGGGTTGCTGAGTTGTTTCAGAAAACGCTTAGAGTGGAACCTGAGGCAGTGCCCCTTGGGACAAGTGATTGCATCACCAACACCCTCCATTCTCACCCTAAACCCTCCCACCCAGGCCCGGGCCCGCATGCCCCTTCCAGGAAGCTTTCCAGACCACAGGGCCCTCCCTGATCTCCCTGTTCTAGAACTCCATCGTGGGACTGTCCCCAAAGACTGGCTCACTCTCAGTCCCAAATGCACACTGGGGCCACCCCAACTTGTGTAGGAACATCTCCTCCGCCACCCCCATCTAACTATCCCTCCTCCATGGGGTCCTTCTGGACCAGACACAGCTAATCCCCTCCTTCCTGCCCCATCACCCCATCAGAGCCCTGAAATGCTCCACACACCAGCTCATTTCACTGCTATTTCTCCCAACGCTGCAGGCCCCTCAAGGCTGGAGTGTTGCCGAGCCCTCCCCAAACCTTCAGGACACTAGAATTCTCCGGAAACTTGGCTGAGTGAGTGTGGAATCAGAGTTGGTGTTCAATGAAGGTCTGCCGGGTGAATGAATCTAGCCCATTTTACAGATAAGAAGACTGAGGTCCAGGTACCCACAGCTACTATGGCAGGAAGGACCCAGGTTTCTTGGCTCTTAGCCTTTTCCAACACACACACACACACACACACACACACACACACACACACCCCAAGTCCTGCACTGTCCAATACAGTAGCCACTAGCCACATGTGACTCTCAAACACTTGAAATGTGGCTTAGCCTAAATTGAGATGTGTTAGAAGTATAAATTACACACTAGATTTCTAAGACTTAGTAAAATAATTTATAATTAATTATAATTATCAACATTAATAATTTTTCATATTAATTATATGTTGACATCATAATTTATAATATTGGATTAGATGAATGTATAATTAAAATTTAATTCACCTGTTTTTTAAAATGTTTTAATGTGGCTACTAGAAACTTTAACACTACATGTGCGGCTCGCATTGTATTTCTGGTGGACACCATTGGTCCTTCCAGCGAAGCTATGGTGTTTCGAGGCAGACTCTGTCCCACTCTCAGCCAGCAGTTTTTAGCCCCTACTACCTTCCAGGCACCGTGTGGCGCTGAGGGTCCCCAGCGTGACAGCGTCTGGCCGGGAGACAGATGTAGACACACACTGCACACAGACGGGGCAGTCCCACGAGAGTGGCATGTTTGGCCCTCAGGGCAAAGGCGGGGGCAGCCTCGCCTCTCCTCCTGCCCCCACCTCCCCGTGCCCAGGGCCTGCTGGCGTCCCCTCCCCGACGGCGCCCGCGGGCGCCCGCTCACCCTTCTCCTTGTTGAGCCAGCGAATGAAGCGGCCGTAGCTGTGGGGCTTGAGCAGCAGCTCCTTGAGGAACTGCCACAGGTGGATGGGCTGCCCGGAGCAGGACGAGTCCACCTCGCTGTCGGCCCAGCTGTCCTCGCTGGTGGAGGCTGGCGGCCAGGGAGGGGCGGTGAGTGGGGCCCGCGGCCACCCCCTGCTGCTGCACGGCAGCTCCCTGCCCCCCGCAGCCCCTTCCCCGGCTCACCACAGTAGTCGATCGCGCCCGGCGAGGTCCGCTCTTTCATCCAGGCCGCTGCGGGGCAAGGAGAGGAGGTTGGGGACGCATGAGAGGCCCGAGGGTGCAGGAGGGAGGGCATTTGGGTGGGACCATGGGGCTGCAGGGCCCCTCTGCGGCTGGGGGTTCCCCTGTGGCCCCCTGCCTCCTGCCAAGCTGGGAAGGCAAGCTGTTTGCAAGCAGCTGCTTCCTGGAAGAAAATTCAGGATGTCAGAGCGGGAAGGGGCCTCAGAGGCTCTCTGTGCCTCCCCCTGCTCACCTGTAAAATGGGGCCGGGACGCCCCTCACAGGTCTTTCGGAGTTCAAGCTGGTGAAGTCTGCGCAGCACCTCCCTCGGTGCCTGGCACAATAGAAGCAGGATCCCCGAGCTCTCCTCCCCTCCAGCTCTCCCCTGCCCTCGCCCACCGCCCGCGACAGCGGGGCGTGGAGGCGGTCACCACCGGCCTCGCCTTGGTCTGGCACCGACCATCCCCTGACAAGGCGCCTGGGCTGGGGCAGGGCACTGGGCCCCGACAAGGTCACAGGAGTGGGCCCCGTCCCCTTATGCATTTCGGGCCCCTTGACGCTCGCTGGGCAAGCACCACATCCGCCAAAGTGCCTGGCTATGCGCAGGGCACGTGGTGGCGCCCGGTAGGCCGCCAGATACAGGCGGCTGGACAGGGAGCCAGAGCCAAGATTGCTGAGTGCGGGGCAGCGGGATACGCGGGCACTATTTATGATTTAAAAAAGGAGTAAAAACCACACACATATATTTGCTTGAATATGCATAGACTTTCCCTGGAGAGGTACCCAAGAAACTGGTCACAGCTGTTGCCTCTAGGGAGGATTGGAAGCTGGGGTTAGGAAGGGGGTGGAGAAACTGTTTATGGTATACTGTTTTTCACTCTGGTTTGTTTTTTGTTTTTTTTTTTTTTTTGAGACAGAGTCTCACTTTTGCCCGGGCTAGAGTGCCGTGGCGTCATCCTAGCTCACAGCAACCTCAAACTCCTGGGCTCAAGCGATCCTCCTGCCTCAGCCTCCCGAGTAGCTGGGACTACAGGCATGCGCCACCATGCCCGGCTAATTTTTTCTATATATTTTTAGTTGTTGTCTGATTAATTTCTTTCTAATTTTAGTAGAGATGAGGTCTCACTCTTGCTCAGGCTGGTCTCGAATTCCTGAGCTCAAACAATCCGCCCGCCTCGGCCTCCCAGAGAGCTAGGATTACAGGCGTGACCCACGCGCCCGGCCCAAACAAAATTTTAAAAAGAATAAAAGGACTTCCCAGTATCTGTGGCTGCCCTTGGCTCTGACGTCCTGTGCCCTGGCTGTGCTCTGTCCTACCTTCTGTGGCCTTGACCAGGGCTGGGAGCGGGTGGGGCTGGGGAGCTCACCAGGATCCCGGAGGCAGCTGCAGTGGGGGCTGAGATTCAGAGCAGAGTCCGGGTCGGGGCCAAGGGAGGGCAACTCCCCGGCTGGCATCCCGGCCTAGCCATCCCCTCGGTATCCCTGGCTCAGAGCCCTGAGGGGCTGCTCCCCATGCCATGTCCTACCTGATTTCCAGATGTCCAGGTGGGCGTGCAGCACGTCCCCGCCCAGGGGCGAGCGCTGGCGGAACTGCTCTTCCGACATGGCGCACAGCTCCTTGCCCCCCAGCTCCTGGAAGGCCTTGCCCACGGGGGGCAGCCGGTACTGGTGCTCTGTCCACAGGAGCCACTTCTGCACGTTGCCAGGGCTCCAGTCCACAGGGTCTGAGCAAGGGACACCCCGTCAGCTCAGGGCTGCTCGAGGCACTGCCCCGAATGTGGCCCTCCCTGCTGTGGTGGGGCGCCCATGGTACCTTGTGCCTGGGACCATTCGCTCCTTGGAGCATGGACGGGCCAGGCAGGGCCCTGGGGGACTTGTGGGGATGGGTACCCAAGAAGAGAAGGGGATGAAAGGGAGGAGCCAGGACCCTACAAACGAACTTGGCTCAGGGCAGGGTAGCCTGGTGCACTTGCACCCCCAACCCACACAGGCCTTGGGGCCTCCCAGACGCCTGCAGCCCTTCCAAAGGACTTTTCAGGGGAGCCCTAGCCCTGGAGTGGTCAGTGACAAGAAGCCAGAAACACCTGAGCTTCTCCCCCAGATACCTCTTGCCCTCCCCACACCCCTTTAGGAACCAGAGAAAACCTAACCAGGACATAGTCTTACAACCCCAACTGCCCCCACTGCCGGATATTACAGATGAGGAAACTGAGGCACAGAGAGCTCCATCTGCTTGTTCCACACCTAACAAAGGACTGGGCGCAGAGCAAAGCAGCTCCGTGCACACGTGTTGAACAAGCAAACGGCAGGGCACAGGGTGGTTATGGGGCAACTACCGGCGGCGAAGGCCAGGGGAGGGGCGCTGGTCTGGAGTGAGCCTGGCGGGGCACAGAGGCGGGGGCCAGGCTGGCGGGTAGGTCACAGTGGGGCCTCTAAGTGAACAGCGTGGTCTCAGCCAGCGCTCCAGCGAGGTGACCCGCGGGATGGGCTGCCCTCATTTAATAAACTCATTTTTCTCCCCGAGGTCAAAGCAATTTGTTTCTGTCCCCATTGTTCAGAGGGCACGCCCTTCCCCCAGCCAGGGTGGGAAAAGAGGCCTGTGGAGCACATCCCAGGGCGGGCTGGCGTGGGCACTGGGGAACTGGAGGACTGAGTCATTGGCAGGAGCTGCCTCCAGGGGGGACGCCAACGGGGGATGTGGAGGGGGGGCGGGGCAGGGGTAGGGGCTGGGCCTGAGGGATGCGTGAAGACCCCTCCCCCCAGTGGAAGCTGCGCACACGGGGATGCTCCCACGCCCGCCTGAAGCCTGCGGGGAAACGGGGCAGGCCTGCCTGAAGCCGGAGAGACAATGGAGGGACAGGGGACCCACAGCCCCTCAGCCCGTAGCATCAGCTCCAGAGCCGCAGCCCCAGGCCTGGCAGACACACACGTGCCCGGCCCCAGTGTGTGCCCTCCTCCCCACCAGACAGTGACACATATATTTATTTATGATCTGTCTCCCTCCCTGTAATGCCGGCTCCATGAACATGGGGACTTTTGTGTTGTGTTGATCACTCAATCCCCAAGTCCTAGAACAGGGCCTGGCATCTCAAGAAGTGCTTCTTGTTGGAGTCATCCAACCACGGTGTTTTGAGCGTCTATTATGTTCAGAGTGCTTCCCAAAGAACAGGGGATGTATGGACGCACGAAACAGATGGACAACCTTGCCCTGTGGAGTGTACTTTCTGGTGGGGGAGGCAGACAGTGAACAAGGTAGGTAAGGCAGGTGTGCAGCATGGCAGATGCCAGGAGGTGCTGTGGGGGGAGCAGTCCAGGGGGCAGGAGGTAGGGGCGCGGCAGCAATGTCAGTGCGGGGCTCAGGGAAGGCCTCATCGAGATGGTGCCGCTGGAGTCAAGACCTGAGGGAGGTGAGACAAATCGATATTTGGGGGAAGAGCCTTCTAGGCTGAAGGAGCGGCAGGTGCAAAGGTCCTGTGGTAAGTGTTGTGGGAATGGCAAAGAGGCTGGTGTGTCTGGAGCAGAGTGAGTGAGGGCAGAGTGGAAAGGAGTGCAAGGGGAGGTGGTGGGCAAGGTGGTATAGAGCTTGCATTCATGTCAACCGGCACCTACCAAGTGGGGACAGTAGGCTGGCATGGTTGGGGCACAGAGATGGGTCAAAACCTTCCCAGCCCAGGCTCGCAGCTGCTGTGTGTTATGGGCTGTGTGTGTGGAAGTGCCAGCATCCCTGGGGCTGGCTAGACGTGGCCAGAGACCATCCAGCAGTGCCTCAACCCACCCCAGCGAGAGGGGGTCAGCCCCGTCTGTGCCCCCTTACGGAGGTGGGTGTGGGGACAGGGGCTCACCTGCGGTGATGTTGAGCAGTTTGCAGGCTGTCTCGATGTCCTTGAGCACTTCGCCCACCACCATGGACTGCACCTGCTCCAGCGAGTGTTCCTCCAGGCTCAGCCCACCTGGCACCAAGTCCAGGCTGCCCCCGGGGGCTTGGCTGTCAATGACCGGGCACTGCTCAGGCTCCTCAGGCCGCCCCTCCCGAGTGCTGGCCCCAGGGCCCTTGGCAGCCCAGCTGCTGTCCTCAGGGTACAGCATGTCAAAGTAGGAGAGGTAGAAGGCAGACAGGCCCTGCTCAGGCGTGGCAGGCGGGCTGGGGCTCCAGTCCCGTCTCTCGGGACCCGCCGCCCCTGCTGCTGCCTTCTCCAAGCCTGTCCTCGATGCCGTGTCGGGGGGCAGCAGGAGGCGGCCAGGGGGCACGCTGCTCAGGCCTGGGCTGGCGCTGCCCATGCCACTGCTGCTCGGGCTGGCGGCTGCATCCACAGAAATGAAAGAGGAAAGAGAGTCAGGTCTGACTGCTTCCCCATCCCCATGGGGGCCACTAAGCTGGTTATGGGGATGAGGCACCCAATGGGCAGTGGGCTGGGCCTGGGAGAGTTGGGGGCTTCTGGGTCATTGGACAGCTGGGACAGGGCTGGGCAGGCAGGCTTCCGGCTGGGAAGGACAGTGAGGTGGGGGGCATTGTAAATAGATAGCTCCCTCGCCCCCCAGGGAAGCAGGATTGGCTGGGAGCAGCAAATCTTGACACGGGTAATGTGCTTAAAGCAATCTTCTGAGGTTCTCGACCTCATTCAGTCCTCACAACGGAGGCATGATAGCCCCATTTGGCAGATGAGCAAACTGAGGCCTGGACAAGGAGCCCTTCATGTCCAAATCCTTCCTGCTAACCTAACCTAAATCTTTCCTACTGTAGCAAAGCTTGTTTTCTTTCTTTCTACCCTTGACAGAGACAGACGTGCAGGTGGAAGGGAGAAGGCTGCCATCACATTCACCAGCAGGGGAGAGAAGAATGGAACAAGGGGGTGTGTGGTGGGGAGTCGGCCGGCCCTGCCCCTCCTACGGGGCCTTCTGGGGATGTGAATAAAGTCCCAAAGCGTAACACCCTTGCGTTGGCCACTGAGTAACAACCCACGGGCATGCTGCCCCCGCCAGGGCTGTTTCCTGGTTCCCCCGCCTCCTGCGAACGGTGCTGCCCGCCCTCCCAGCTCCCAGGGCCCTCTCCTCTCCCCTTGAGCCCTGGGGGAACGTACCCACGCGCCAGCCTTTCCTGGGGGCGGCAGAGGTGGTGAGGAGGGGCAGGCTCCGGGGAGCAACCGAGACCCTCAGCAACTCAGCCTGCTGCGCACCGCCTGCCCCAGGCCCTCCAGGGCGCCACTCGGCATCAGTGCAGTCGGGGACCTGGCTTCCCGCTGATCACCCGGGCCCTTTGCTCTCAACCCCGTAGCAGAGGGCACAGCTGGGGGGGCAGGGGACTTGAGAGATGTACCTGCACCCGGACACTGGGCTTTCCGGGCTGCTCAGTGATTCGGGGGCCGGCGACGCAAGAATGTCGAGGCAGAGGTGGAAGATTACAACAGATACATGCTGCCAACGGTACAGGAAACAACTGAGACAGGAGCAAAGGGGCAGATAAACCTGTCAAGGGCAAGTGAATCGCGACCTTTCTCCAGGGTGTTTGCATTTGACAGCAGCAGTCCTCGAATGTGGTCCTAGACCAACAGTGCCAGCACCGCCGGGAACTTGTTAGAAACTCCCATTCCCAGGCTGCTCGGGAGCTGGGCACCAGACGCTCTGGGGGAGGGGCCCGGCAGTGCGTGGCCCAGGCTTTGGGCGATTCGGATGCACGTTCGAACTGCAGAACTGCTGCTTCAGAGGCTGCTGGCCAGGAGGAGGGGGAGCCTTCAATCAAAGGACCGGTAGCCTCTCTAACGGCGGAACTTACTGTGCCACACTGGGACGCTGGAGAGCGAGGGGGCTCCCTGGCCATCGCCAGTCACCCTGTGGGACTGCCCTGCTCAGCCTCAGTGTGCAGCTGGCACATACCTCTGCAGGTGCGACAAGGGAAAGAACCCAGGTTGATACCTCCGGCTTCTCTAGGGCTGCAGCGAGCCCATCCGACATCTTTGTACAACTCAGAAAATGCCATCCCTTCCTCCCTGGGTAGCATAGCTCGGTCAATGAGCTCAGGTAGGATTTCGGCCCCCTCTGCCCACCCCCCTTGTGCAGTGCCCAACTTTCCCAACCTTACACGGCAGCCCTGCAGTTTCCTGTGGCGGAGAGAACGCCAGCAAGAGAGAAGGGTGTTCCCTTTGATTTCAACTTCCTTTCAAGGGCTCCTTTAAGTGACAGGGAAGAAAAGGTCAGGGTGAGGTGGGGTGGGCAGAGACTGAGGGGGGCCGTGGTTGCGAGGGATAGAGGGCAGGTCTGGAATCATTTCAAGTCCTTCTGTGCAAACACTAGTGTGTGCCGTGGGCCCACAGTATTTACCTAGGCAGAGCCAACAGCTCACTCTGCCCCTGAGTCCCCACCCTGGCCGGTGCCCACGCCCTACCCCGTGGGTGCTCCACCCCTGGGACCCCCCCCTTGGTCCCCCACTCCTCCTTCATCACCCCCTGCTTGGCTCCCGCCCCATCCACATCGCCAGAACCCCTGTGCCTGCCACGTTAGGACAGTCTCTGCCAACACCCTGGGCCACGTGCCAGGGAGACAAGCTTTTCCAAGAAGCAAGGGAGCTCGCTTCCTCTGTGGCCCTGCTGTTTGCGTGGCCTCGCCATAGGTAGGGTGGGAGGCAGCGGCTGTGTTTCAGGACAGGGCTGTGGGGGGTCGGTGGGGACGAATGGGCGGGGCGAGCGGCGGCATTTGCCAGGTCGGATGTAACGACACATCCTTGGAACATTTGTCGAGGGAACCGTGAAGCCCTCGCATCCGTCCCCTCCCCAGGGGCAGCTCGGGCCTTGTTCTCATTGCCGACGGGAAGCCAAGGTGCGGAGAGGTAGAATGCAGGCCTTCTGACTCCCGGACCGAGGCTCCTTCACCAGCACAGAAGTCCTGCTTCCCCTACACCCACATTTCAGCTTGCCCTCACCGTATCCCTAAATGCCCAAGCACCTGCTCTGCACCAAGCTTGGTCCCAGCTCCAACGCTTCCCCGGTGAAAAACAAGTGAATGATTAACCGTGCAGCAAGAGGAAAGGCCTGGTTTTCCGCAGGTGAGGGTGCTGGGGAAGGCCGGGCCCCAGGCAGCCCAGGTCTGCGGGGCGGGGGCCCTGGCTTGATCGGGGGCCAGTGTGCCCAGCCTGCAACTCTGGCGTCTCCTCCAGCCTCCCGCTGCACTGGGAGGGAAGAAGAGGGAACTGAGCAGGGAGCACCTCCCATGCCCCGGGCATTCACCCACATCACCGCTTTTACTATCCCCAGCCTGGGTGTCGTGGATCCCCAGGCCCCGTTTTGTAGACGCAGACGAGGCCAGGGACTCGCGCGGTTGCCCACGCTCCCACCTGCCAGGCGTGGGCTCTGCTCATTGGACCACATTTTCTCTTAGGATCCTCTTCTGGCCAGTCCCATCTTCCTGGGGGTTCTGCCGCCTCCTGATTGGGCTCCTCGATCCTCCAAAGTCCCTGCCCACATCCTGGCTGCTTGTTCACCCCACTGTCAAGCTCATTTCCCTCCAACACCCTTTCACCAGACACCTCTGTGCTCAAGAACCCCCCATGGCTCTCCATTGCCTGCCCTGCCCCATCCCAGTGGCTCATGCCCACCTCCGAGCCCACCTCCCACCCCGCCCAGATAATGGGAGCTGGAAGGGGCCGCATAGTGTGTGATTGTCTCATAGGTGGGAACAATGAGGCCCAGTGTAGGGAAGGGGTAGAAGCCCCAGTTAGTGGCAGGATCTGGACCAGAACCAGGGATTGACATGGTGACCAAATACCCAGGCTCTAATGAGAATGGCATTTCACACTGGGCCCTGTGCTGTGGGGACGACATGGCTATTTTCTCTCGCGTCGCTGTCCCCTGCCCAGGATGCCCCTTCCTTCTCACCACGGTTCTGCCCAAAGCCCTCTTCCCTGTGCCATGCCATCCATCCCGTGGGCAGAGGCATGGGTGACTGTCTGCCCAGGGGACACACGTGCACTGGGGAAGCTGAGGCTCAGAGTGTGGCAGGGCGGTGCCCACGGTCACACAGCAGAGCGAGTGCCAGGCCAAGGGCCCCCTGACACTCAGGCCACTGCTTCATAGGCCTGGGGTCCTGGGACAAACCAGGTACCTGCCAGGTCCCGGTCCCCTGGACGGCAGGCCCAGTGCTCCCCACAGCCGCTGCCGGCAGGCCCGGGGCAGCTGTCTCCTGAGCGACGCCTGCAGCTCCCAAACCTCGAGTTGATCTCTCCTGGATTAAGCCACGTGTCTGGATTAAGGCTCAGCGTGTCCTGGCTCCCTCCAGCCCCAGAAGCCCTGGCTCCCACTCCAGACAAAGAAAGTTCGGTAACAGCTGGTGGGGGCCTCAGCCCAGAGACAGGACCAAATTGGTGGGGTGGCGGCCAGGGGGATTAGCCGCCCCTTCTCTCAGCACCTCCCGTTCCTCCAGGAAGGCAGATTAGGAAAGAGGGTGGAGGGACCCAAAGTGAGAGATTCGGCTCCGCTTTCTCTGCCACTGCCCTGCCTGCCCTCGCCCCTTGCAGCCAGGGAGGTGCCCTGGGCCCCCTGCCTCCCAGGTTCTCATCTCCTGCCACCAACTGGCACCAGCCAAAGACCCCCATGGCTCCCGAAACCACAGCTCCAGGGAATGGAGTCGCTTGGGAGGTCTTTGCTAAGGCCTGGGCTGCCGGGGGGTTGCAGCCTGCTTTCCACAACCTGCTTGGCCCAGGCTCCCAGGTCCTCCATCCTGGGGGGGGGCGTGGTGTGGGGTAAATGTGCCCTAGCCTGCACCTCGGTCCTGAGAGCCAACCCAGCCCTCCCAGAGCCGGGCCGCACTAAGTGCTGAGGGCGGACAGAGCTAGCCGCCCGGCCCTGCTGCTCGCCCCCAGCCAGCCCTCTGCAGAAGGAGGAGCCGTGATGGGGGCAGAGCCCCTCCTGCTTCCCCACGGCGGCCACCGCGCTGACCGTCAGCCCCTCCGTCCCTCCCTCCATCCAGCCCCCTGGCCCCCTTTAATGAGCCAGAGTGGGAACTATGATCGTGGGACGAGGCCCCAGCCAGGAGCCAGGCAGAGTGGGTAGGGGCCACCTGGGCCTGCCCCCCGTCAGCTGGTCAGCGCCTTGGAGAGGAGCTCAGGCCACAGCCCTGACCTGGCTGTGCGGCACGGCCGGCTTCCCTGAACGCCCTGGCCTCCTCGGGCCCCGGCCTCTCCCTCTCTCTCCGCTCCTCCCGCCCTTCTCTGCCCCCCCACGCTCCCATCCTCCCGCGGAACCAGCAGCCTCGCCCTTCGCACTGCTCTGCACACCAGCGGGACCCCAGAC